GTTATATAGTGATGAACATGATAGTTAATTATAGATTCAATTATATAATAAATGGATCAAAAGTCATCCATGGGTGATATATCATGAGATGATTTTTTTTTTATCATTAGTGGTTACTGCTATGCTTTTAGGTATTGACAAGCAAGGTTGTTTTATATTCAAAAGACATTTGAATCGAGTGATACCCCCTAGCTACTCAAATGCATAATTCAAACAGTTTGATTCTTGATACTTTGAACCGGTCACGATAGCATAGTGGCAGCGAGCTAGCTTCGTGATCGGGAGTCCCGGGTTCGATTCTCGTTCGCTGCGCCGCGTCAAACCTAAGACTTAAAACCTAACACTTAAAACCTAAGACTTAAACTGATTGTTGTTTTTTTTGTTTGTTTTGAACATATTTTATTGACAATGTGTCAAAGGGATTGGACACAAGTTATAAAAACTTAGTCCTCTGATTGATCCCTTCGCCAAGCGCACAAAAGTGACTAAAAACCGAGGTCCCGCGTCACAGTAGGCGTTGGCACAAGAAAGAACCCTCACTGCTCAATGGCCCTGAGTGAGGAGTATAGGTCTAAATTTGAAGGCCTTCATCGGCATGCGGAGACGTCTCTATATGAGTGAAATATTCTCGAATGGGACGTTTAACAATATACAATCAATCAATCGATCAATCTTGATACTTTGAATTTGAGAATTTTGCAAATCCAACATTCTAGTACTGTACACAGTAGCTACACTGTAAGATGTAACATAAATAATGACCTAAGCCTTTTCATTAGGTCACCTGAGGAAACATATTGGTATTAGCTTTCACTCATATTGAGACGCCACCGTATGCCGAAACTTAGATCTGTAATTCACACTCGGGACCATTGAGCAGTGAGGGTTCTTACAAACGAAGGTTAAACAAGTTTTGGTTCTCTGGTTTTACCTGTAGGAGACTATTAAATATAAGTAATTGTGAAATCAATCGTGCCCTGACATTGAAGAGTAAGATTACATAATAAACTGCCTGGTTGAATCATAATTTAATTAAAGTTTTAAACATTTCAAACGTCATTATCTCATTAACAAGATTTTAAATCTCTTTCATCTCTGGTTTCAAATTATTTATATTTAGTTCGTTAGCACTTCTTTTTATATAACTTTCGTGATACAAAGTCGTTAAATATTGATCGCAATTATAAGTTAAAAATTCTAACCTCCGATTTTGTAAATAGTCAGTAATGAAGTACTTATATTTAAGACCTGTTAAATCACTAAGTGGCAAATTCAGATTAAGGTATTCAACCCATAGTAGCCTCAGATTCAATGAAATTGAATGCTTAACAGTTATGAATGGATTGAACACTCAGTACATGTATATTTAGACATAATTCCAAGTTTTTTGTTATCCGTATGCAAGAATGGAAAGTATCCTAAATTTTTGTGACCTTGACCTGTTCTTGAAGAGTTATCACCCTCTATTTTCAATAAAAATCTTTTTTTTTAAAAAAAAGATCTATAGGGTAAAAAAAAAAAATCATTTTTCGATTGTTATATTTTTCTAATGCTTTAATACATATTTCCACCTCGGCTTTTTTGATATTCTTAATATTTGAACTTTTATTTTTAAAAAATCGCTTGTCTTCATGGATCTCAATGCAATCTTCGATGATTAGTTATTGCTAAGGTAATTACAATTTTGAAAATTTCTCTTGTTAATTCGTTTTCTACTATAAAATGCTTTGAATTAAGATCAGATTAAATTGTATAGATAAAGTCAAGAGAAATGATATGTTTTCAAATGATACTTAAAGAAAGACAATATGTAAAAGTTCTACATGTGATTATATATTTCAGATATTAGGTTGTTATGAAACAATAAATGTATCTCTAAAATTTGTCCAATGGTTGTTAGTGAAATAATACTGGTATCTACATGAATCCAATGTTAAAACTGAGAAAATTGAATTATATTTATTTTTGTATTAATTTTTATTCATTCTGTCACCGAAAGCTGCATATATTCATAACTAGAAGCTTAAGAAGAGAATTGTACTCATGTAAAAAAAAAAAAAAAACAAACCTCTGTTTAACTGGTTTAGGAACTTATAATTAAATGCACGTGGAACTACATGCAATGTCTAACAAATAAGATTAATATATAATTTTCCAAACTTTTAACTTCTAACAAATAGAAGGTACGCCAAGACACAAGAAAAAAAAAATAATCCGGATTATGAATTACAAGGTTTAATCTGGTTTGTGACCTGTACTTTCGGAGATGCCATCATTGATAAACCCAGCTGGTCATATTGAAACAAAAACAAAGCTAAAATCTCTACTAGAAAAGGTTTATCTACGACCCACTCGGCTACAAATTGAACTCCGAGGAGCTTGTGTGAAGTCTTTTTTTTTAAACAACTGTGGGAATATAGAGGAAATACAAGATTTAATAATGTTATAATTTCAGTCTGTAAAACTGAGCAATCATTGTATAATTTTATACCGTGAGCAAATATCAAAGGCTCTATTTAAAAAAAAAGGTCTCTGAAATGTTGCGATACGAGGGAGAAAACCATTACTGATGTCGCAGTCAGCAAGACGGGCGTTCATTACAGAATTCTTCGAAAAGGACAATGATATCGATGTGGAAGGTAAGGCCAAAATAAAAAGATTTGTTGAACTTGAATATATTAGAGTTTTACAAAAGTATGAGATAAATTTAAACACTTAAAATTAAATGATATACATTCTTTTCTTGGAATATGTATTAATTCCTTGGATTAATGATCTATTTATACGTTATATATAACATGTTTACATATTTCTAGTAGTCATGTTTTGTTTCAAACATTGGTGACGGAAACTATTTCATGAACATGTACATGTACATCAACTGACTCTGTCGAACATTGTAAATATACTGAGTATTTTACATTCTTACCCCCCTCCCCCCTTACCATTACAGTATTGAAAATGTTCTCTTAATTGTAAGATTTTGTTCCCTAACAATCCGGTTTATTGACTTAAAGATAATTGACGATAATTTATCAAATTAAATGTTTATATATATATATATACATGTATATAAAAGAAAAATGTTTAAAGATATTTAAAATTTAAAAGGCATTGGTATTATAGTCATAATAAGAAATCGATTTAAGCTCTAAATTAATCCGATTAATTGAGAAAAGAACAAGAACCACAAATATTTAATACTAATTTTACTAATAGATCAGATCTAATCTAAACAAAAAAAAAAAAACCTAGTAAACCTAATAAAAAATTATAATATATATATATATATATATATATATATATATATATATATATATATATATATATATATATATATATATATATATATATATATATATATATATATATATATACCGAGTATGAGGGCAATGTATGGTTTATTGGACCTGAATATAACAAAAATCTATAGCTGAATATATAATATATAAGAATATGTATGACCTGAATATTAGATTTATAAATGATCTTATAGATGAAAATGGTTTCTTTTACAGTTATGAGGGTTTTTGTGATATATATCCAAATGTTAAGCTCAATTTCTTAGAGTTTGCAGGTATAATACATGCTGTAAAAGCATGGATGAAAGCAATGAACATAAATGACATTACTGCAAAATTACCAAACCCATTAATTTTGTCTAGCAGTCATATTCTTTCAAAGTGTAAGAAAGCAAAACAGTTTTATGAAATAATTAATGTTAAAGATGAACAATATGGAATGATATTTTTGATTTGGGGAAAAATGAATGGAAGATGATTTTTAAACTTCCTTTTGAAATTACAAAAAATAGTAAACTTCAATGGTTTCAATATAGAATTTTAAATAAAATACTTGGTACAAACTCCTATCTATATAAAATTAGGAAAAGAGATGATAAATTATGTTCTTTTTGCAATGTGGAAGAAGAAACAATAATACATGTTCTATGGGAATGTGATAATGTACAGACTTTTCTGAACAATTTTGAAGTATATTGTGAGCAAAAGACAGGGCTGCAACTTTCATTCACAAAGCAAAGATTTATTTTGGGGTTTCTAGGAAAAAGCAAAGATATTCATAACTTATTGGCCTTGTGGATAAAATACTATATTTACACAATGAGATGTTTAGGGAAAAAATTTAATGTTAGACCTGCAACTTCACATATTAAACTTCTCTTTGAAACTCAAAAATATTTATTATACAAAAATGGAGACAAAGAGGTATTTGACACCAACTGGAATCAATGGAATCAATTGTTTTTTTAATCTGTTATAAGAATCAGTCTTATTCATGTATTAAATGAAATACATGTATGTGATAACATGCCAACTCTCTCTCTCTCTTAAAAACCACAGCCTGTAAAAATGTTAAACTTTGTATTGTATACACAGATTGTGTATTAAATAAAGAATTAAAAAAAAAGAATCTATAGCTGCCTTGTTATATCCTGTACTTGCAAATATAATTTTTATAGTAATAAGTATTAATAAACTTGAAATGTACTGATGAAATCAGGGTTCATCTTCATATGAAATACCATTTACTTTGGGCACTTTCATCACGTTGGAGTTAAAGAATTTAACGCTCAGATAGATATGTTTTATATGTTGTGAAATTTATATAAGGGTATAACAAATAATTTTTACATATGAATGTAAATGAAAAGAAAGAAATGTTAAGTTTAAAAAAACAAAAACAAAACAAACAAACAAACTAGTATTTACTCGGAAGTTAAGAAAAAAGATAATGTGGCATATTTGATTGAGTTTTTATTTCGTACTATTCAATTACTGAGTTGTAAACAATGATTTTTGATAAAATTGCATTAAATGAATATTTTTTGTATATTTTGGTAGTTTTTTTTTTAAATTTCATTATTGTAAGTAACCGACAGCTCATATATTATGTATGGATAAATCATATTTAATTAAGTTAAAAAAAAAAACAAACAAAATAAAACAAAACAAAACTCTAAAAATATTTTTCCTTTTCAGCTGAAAATTACAAAACTGAATTGAATGTAGCTCTGCGTAGATACCAAAGTAGCAGTGATGTCAGTCGGAAGGACTATCTCCGGGCATGCAAGCATTGTGGAGTTGTACCTCTATCGGTCTTTTTACGCCAGCTTGGAGAAAGAAATATGTCTCTGAGGTTTCAGCTTCTTCCAAAAAACGCCATCAAGTCCTGTGCAATCGCTTTACTTGTACGAGTATTTTATTACTTTATGTTTGAACCACGCCTGTGTACTTTGCATCAAATTATTTAGGTGTAAAATTAAAATGAAGAAAAAAACTTAGACTTCCTTCTCCATACCTAACAAAATTTTTTAAGAACAATGGTTTTATTCTGGATCAGTCAAGGTTTAATATGAGTAATTTTGTTTTGTTTTTACATTTTCTCAACTCATCATATTTGATTAATTTATTATTTTACAGAGGAATTCACGTATCCAGTCGTTGGATCTAGAAGGCTGTCAGATAGGGTTGTACGGTGCCCAGTATATGTTCGATCTACTACATAGGAAAACTAATATTACAGAAGTCGTAAGTTCATTAGAGTCGCCACTGAAATCACATACTTAAGAAAAGTGAAATGTCGTGTATTCCACCGCTTTTTCTGTGTTTGTATTGCAGAATTTAAGCGGCAACAAACTTGGAACGGAGGGATTACGGTGGATTGTCCGCCTCTTCCATTCAAACCATCACATTAAATCAATTAATCTCTCAAGTGAGTATATAAATTAAACTTTAGCAAACTCTTATAACTTGTCTATATATGAAGTCAGCATCTATTCAGATAGAGATATTGACGATACGAATTTACTTTCTCTAGGATCAGTAGATCTTTTATGCCCTTATCCAACTTCAGGTAGTGAAAAGTAACGAGATATTGATATACATTTATTCATATGAAATCCTTACAAAGATACATTGCAAGTTCTGACAAATTCTGTACCAAGCCCCTTTCTTTGCTCTTTACAAAAATATTAACCGCTTTAAGAAGAAACTTCAGACGTACTATGATACAGCATATTTAAGAAGCGGTGAAAATCAGATATGGATTTTCAAAAACTCCAAAGAACTTTCAGAAAATTTAAAATCATCAATTTTTTTCTAAAGTCAATGACATCAAAACGTACAGCTTTTCTACACTTTCTAAAGTTTTTGCTATCTTAAACAACTGCTTCTTCAATAAAAAAAAAATGAACGCATAATTTTTCCTATCTTGTGATTGGTCATCAACAAAATTACTTTGTTAAAAATCACTCTGATTCTACAAAAAAGTACTTTGAAGTTGATTAAAAAAAAGGATGCTTGAGCTCCTCATTGACAACATGTATGTAATCTTCGGAGATCAGATCTTCCGAGAAAATGTTGGAATTTCGATAGGCAATAACTGTGCTCCTTTATTAGCCGACTTGTTTTTATTTAAGGAATGATTTTAAGTTTTGTGTGAGTTATTGGTGTGTAAATCACACAGACTTGTCACGTAGGCATATTTCATGAAACGCGCTAGCGCTTCACGAAAAATATGCCTACGTGCAAGTCTGTGTGATTTACACACCAATAATTCACACTAAACTGAAAAACATTCATTATATTTACATTTTACAAATTTAAAAGCAACAATAATATACTCAATATTTGAATTTCTTGCTGCCCTATATCGTTAATTTTTTATTTACGTCTCTGTAGTCTCATTGTGACGTCACTTTAGCGCGAGTTTCACCGTGTATATTTCTACGCGTGAGTATACACAAAAATGACTTTCAAATCAATTTCACAGTTGGCTTAGTAGAAAATCACAGCAAATGTAAATATATTCGTATGAAGCAGAATTTATTCAATTATACTTCTACATGAGAAGAAGAAAACACTTGTTTTTGCCTTCAACTTGACATTCAGATATATGGACGACGTTTTATCAATTCAAAATAGTTAATCTTCATTCATGTCGACTCGATATATCCCAGTGAACCTGAAATAAAGGACATTACAGAGTCTGCCACATCCGTTTTTTATTTAGATGTTTTCCTGACTATAGACGATTAGGGCCAACTAACATCTATATTGTATCATAAACGAGATGACTTCAGCTTTTCCATCGTCTTCCTTCCTTATTAATCACTTGCATATAGTGTTTACGTCTATAAACTTATTCAATACTCAAGAGCATGCTCTAAGTACGATTAATTTTTAAACCGAGGCGGGCTACTGACAAATAAGTTCATGTTACAGGGATTTCATCAGCCTTTTTTAATGTCAGCGTTTCGTAAATTCTATGATCGTTCAAGTAACCTTGTTAACAAATATAACTTATCACAGGATGGATAGATGAATGGATATAGAATAGACTCATTAAGAATCATCTAATCATCTGAAACCTTAAAATTCATTGAATTTTATTTATAATTTCATTAATGAATAAATGAAATGTTAAGTTAACTTACAGTTATCATTCTCAAAAAATCCACATAAACAATACAATCTTTGAGCTGATCAACACAGACCTCTGTAAACAGAGGTGGGAGTAGGATTAGTACTGCAGATTCCTAATACGCGAGGGAAATAATTTCCAATAATAAGTACTTTCGCGAGAAGCACCACACGCGAAATAAAATTACTAGCTTTTATTTTTATGGTGCTGAAATCAATCTAAAATCTCTTGATCAACCGTCCATTCGTGAATTTTTGTTCTCGCGATTTGACGTTTAAGAACCATTTCGCGACAGTAAGTACTCGCGAAAAATAAGGAATCTACAGTAATCATCCCTTGTCAACCGGTCACACCCTCCATGTGCTCTAAGTCATGATCGGGCAAACGGAAAAATACGTAGACAATTCAGTGTAAAAATAATGACTTAACACTTTGTGAAAAGCGTCAGTCAACATTCGACCTAACGACAGATTGTATTTACAAACGGAGTCATTGTATAGACCATAGAATGCGAAATTCTTACTTTAAACGAGATTGTTGATATTCTTCAATCTTCATATTTTTGTCAATCATAGCCTGCCTCGTTTTCGAAATTGTTCATACAAAGAACATGTTCTTGCGCATGAATCACTTGGGAGACGTATGCATGTGATAATGGTATATGTGGTTTTTTTCATTGGAATAAATATGTTTTCTAAGTATTATTTAGAGAACGAGACAGGTACTGTATCGTAGAAAATAAAAATCCGTAACATATGATCGAAGTCCATCGAAAAACTGTCTGTATCGCCTGTATGTGTATCTATAGTTAACTGAGATTTTAAGACCCCTGAAATAAATTCGGATCAATCTCCATTTACAACAAGGTTAAATCGTACACCTTATCAATTAAGACTGACTTCGAGTCTGTTACATCTACCCCGTTGTCAAAACTAATCTGACTAAATCTTACGTTGTCCGTGAAAATATATATATACTGCGGATGTATACTCCCCGTCGAGGCCTCATCTACAGAAAGCACAAACGAACTCTGGCGAAAGTTTGGATGCTGCACGGGTATGAAGTGGGCGGTGCTTTTTTCTTTTTGATTGATCGTGTCACAAATCATTTAGAGAACTCGATAGATTCTGTATCGTAGATACAAATTTGGGGTGGAGACTCGTGCTACGCACTCATCCACCCCAAATTTGTATCTAATTGAAATGCGACATTAAAAACGAAGTGAAAGAGATGTGCGGCAGTCGTCAGCGATAAGGATTTAAGATGAAATTAAAAAAAAATCCTGAAAAAATAGACTTCATTGAGTTTACACGAGAAGAGTGGAAAATGGGGGGAGGGGGAGTGCGAATTTCACGTAATGTATGCTGCATCCGCGAACCCATTGGCTTTACTATTTTGAAGGGGACACAAAAAGCAGGGAAAGCAAACAGATTTTCAGGAATTTCTCCAACATAGGATGTTTTCCATAATTGCGACTTTTCCTTTTCGTTTGGATCGAAATAACGTGTAGATTCTGTGTGAAATAATTTTTTTAAAAGTGATTGAGAAATTTTGACATTTTACATTCCTAAGGAATTATAATAGGAAAAAAATCAGCATTTACTATTTGTACGTGCTTTTGATAAATTGAATCAGATTTATTTTTAGACCGTGCTGTATTTTAGATACAGAACAGTTGGCTAATACAAGACAGTATACAGAGCTAATACAGAACGGAAAGTAGCTCCGCCCACCGTATTTCCGTTCTGTATTGCTAATACAGAACAGCAAACTTCAAAGAAAAACACCGCAATCGTGTCACAATTGGGAAGATAATCTTGAAAGTTTTGATCAGACTTTTAATCAAAGTGTCGGGGAGTGGAAGGAGGTTTAAAGGTATAATTTGTTTGTTTTAGTTTATCAGTTGAGGACACAGTTATTGTTTTGCTACATCATTTATATTTTCTTTTTGGTAGATAATCAGTTTGAGGATACCGATGCTGTCTATATTTCTGAGATTTTACACGTAGGTTATTTTTAGATTGTATGACACATTTATAAGTATGCATTGTTTTATAAATTATGCATTTCATACATTTTTTGTGCTTTAAATTTTAAAAATAATTTTTTGCAAGGGTGACAACATTGTTCATGAGCTCAATCTTAGCCACAACAATTTCTCCGTGGAAAGCGGCGTGGTCATAGGCAGTGCCTTAGGTAAGTTAGCGCAGAAAGATATTGACATACGTACGTTCAAACTGATAGGCAGTGCCTTAGGTATAAATTAACACTGAAAAGATAGTGACTTAAGTATTGTTCTAACTAACTAGTATAGGCAGAATCCTAAGTAAGTTTACCCTTAAAGGCAGTGATTTACATGCAAGTTGATATTGCCCTGAAAGACAGTGCCTTAGGGAAGCTTACAGTAAGAGACAGTGCCTTAGGTTATTTGCAGTGATAGGCGGTGCCTCAGGTAAGCTTACAATGATTGACAATGCTTTAGGTAAGTTTGCAATGATTGGCAATGCCTTAGGTATTTTAGAATGATTAGCGATACTTAAAGTTCGATTACAATGATCAACATTGTATTATTAATTCCACAATGACTACTAGCTATAACCAGAATTTTTATGAATTTATTAGGATATTCTATCAATTCGTATTTTTAAAACAATATTATGATTCCAATTGAATGTTAAAACATAAAGATTTTTAAAATATATATACACATGTAAAATATTTAGATAAGAATTTTAATTAAATTTTATCTTTAGTAGGATTCTTTTTCTAAATTTGAAGAAAGAAATATTTAGTAAAACTAAAAGCAATTTTTTATTTCATGTCAGGTTGTAATGACACGATTAAGATACTAAATCTTAGTTGGAACCATATTCGAGGAAAGGGAGCACACGCAATAGGTCTTGGTTTACAGGTAAACATTTTGAATTAAGTGAAATTTTTTTTTATATATAACTATAAAAACTATGTGTGATATCGATAGAATCTGACGTTTGAATGATCAAAACAATTTTTTCTTCAAAAGTTGAAATTCAAAAATGAAAAAAATTCTTTCATCCAATATAATCTTGACAGAGAAATTCAACGATCAAAATCCTGAATGTATCCTGGAATGGCTTTGATATTGTTGGTTGTCATGGTCTGGCACATGGTCTGGAGAAAAACAACACTTTGGCAGACTTAGACATAAGCAGTAACAGAATTGGTGTAATGGCTGTCAGTAAGCTTATGGAAGGATTGAAACGAAATTCGTCCCTTGAGATTCTTAGGGTTTGTGGTTTCAGTGGTACATGCATTAAAAAAAACATATTGGAGGGTTGATAAAATCAGATATTTCTCTTTGTAGTCAAAAGTATTACTATTTAGTATTACTATGTAGATTATCCCACCCTATAGTATTGATTAAAACTAATTTGTGTTACTTTTCGCTATTATTTGTTTTATTGTAAAGTTCCTTCCACTGAATCATAATCAGATTTAGTATTTTGTATCTACTAGATCGGAAACAATCCTCTAACAGCTCAGGGACCATTACTTGTACTACATAGCATGAAATATATCCCACACATCAAGTATATCGACTTTGGTGTAAGTATGGCTTTGTTGAAAAGATCCCAAGAAATTGATGTACATAATTTGCATAAAATCTGTTGTTTGGAAAATAAAGATGTTTATTTAATAATGTTTATATTTCTACTAAAGTTTTCTTTACTTTCTTTTTTTTTATAGTTACAACCAGTTGACATGGACTTTGTGACTACTTTGGTTTCCTTCCAGAAGAGTCGCGATCTACACGCCACCTATGGCAAAGTCTGTCTAAAGCCAGTCTCTGAAGACGAAGATCCCACCATGTATATTCGGGGAGACCCCGTCAATATTATGTTTGAATTTATCAGGATGAAAGAAATAGATGTCCTAGACTTATTTATCACTTTTGACACAGATGGTAGCCATTCTGTCACGTGGGATGAGTTTAAAGAAGGTGTACAGGTATTTAATTCCCATATATTTGGTACTTTCCCCGCATTTTATCTGTATATGCTCATGTTTAGATATAAACATCTGCCAGTATCATTAAACACACTATTCAGCCATGGTTTAATTTCGATTAGCTTAATATATGGACCATACTTAAATTGCAATCTGTTCTTCATATAAGACCATTTAGCATGATTTAGTAAGAAATTTAAATAAATTATATATCGAATACTTCTTGATATATTACAGTTCAGCAAGATCCCAGTCAGATTGCGTGATTTGGACGTCATAATAAAAAGAATTGATATTAATTTAGACGGCGAAATAAACTTCTCGTGAGTAACTCGATTTTTTTCCCCACTTTCTAAATTCAAATTTTGCAGAAAACATGCAAGAAATATTAGTCATTTGATCTGATTAAAAGCAGCCTTACGTTGGAGACAAAAATCTTAAGCGTTTCTAAATTACTAGTTTTCCAAATAAAAACTTTTTTTGCGAAAAAACTTATTAAAAATAAAACCATTTGTAAAATTATACATGATTAAAGTCCTCTTTTTCACTTTAAGGTAGCAAGACAATTTTCATAGATATCTGTTGAATGTGTTGTTGTTGTTGTTTTTTTTTTTTAGTGAATTAATGATTGCGCAGAAGGAACATAATTTACGAGTAAGGAAGCTGATGGATAAGGGAGAGCGGGTATTTTTACAAAGTGACATTGGTCAAGTACACCAAGAACTTCTCACATGGTTTGAAGACAAGGGAGTTTTTCTTAAAAAGTACACTGCTTTGAATTTACCGAAAGAGAAAAATGGCGAGAATAAAGACACATGAAGTGAAAGATGAATGAATTCGTAGATTTCTCGCTTTGCTTACGCAAAATTTTATTTTGTTGTTATTTAAATACTTTAGTAGTGGTTAAAATGATATGACAGTGCTACATGTGCTACTGGTGTACATGTTTTTAGTTATTTGAAATTTTAATAAAGAAATATTATACATGATTTTTTTTTATTAAGACTGAACGTCGCATAGAGTATTTAACTGTTGGAGTATTCTTTAAAATATATACACCTTACTTGGTTATAATATTATAAAAAATAATATTAACTTTAAAATTATTACCATGAGAATTGTTTTGGAAAACATTTCTTATATGAAATCCATCTTCGTTATGAGATTCTAAAACGAAGCTTTGTTTATATAAAAAAAAATTGCTTAAATTATTTGCATTTTCATGTCTTCTGACTGATCAACTACAAAATTAGTTTTTAAAACAATTCTGATTATACATACAAACCCTGAAATTAATCAATGCTATTAAGATGCTGGAATTTCTCATTGACACCATCTTTGTAGTCTCTTGGGACCAGAGGGTCATAACATAAAGGGTACTTTACTCCATGACCATGCTTAAGAAAGACTTAAGTACATTCTTAAGACAGTAACTAGAAGTGTGCTAAGATTTTTTTTCTCCGAGACTAAAAAGCTTACCACTACGCTACACAGAACATAACAAATAGTGGCATTTAAATCACTTTTGTGAAATGAAACTTTACTAAATCGACTTCAGAAGTTTCTCGGAAAGATACGAATGTTGTGTCATAAAAGTGTATTTTTAGGTACAGTGTGTCTTTGTTTCATGTTTCTCCATGGCATCTGATATCACTCCAATGTTTTTAGAGATCTGTGTTTGTTCTTCTCCAGATTCGGATCGTTCTAACGGACTTTGTGTTCCATTACTGTTCGTTGTCTTCAGATTTCATATACATGTACTGGTAACCCCCTCTACTGTCATAAGACGAAAGGTTCAAAGTCGTAGAACAGAGCCTTAAAATTCACAACAATCATTTCTTCCGCCACAATCAGACCTGTTTACTTAATACACTTACAGCAGTTATTCATGTATCTTTTTAAAAAAACAAAATTTTTTGAACATCATGTCAGTAAAAGGATGACTGCACTTAACACCTGTTTTTTGGGTCTTTTTCGGTTGCTTCTGTTGCTTTTTTTTTTATCTTAACCTTATTTCACTTTTGTATGTTTTTTGAAAGAATCCTGTCAATTTGGAACCAAATTTAAAACTCAAAATGATTTTAGACTGTGATTCAATAAAATGATTCAATGTTTTTTTTGTCCTTACTGCTTTCCAAATATAGTGAATTTAAACTTACCTGCCCTTGATTGAACATTAGATATGCATGAGAGGTGGAGCTAACATTGTAAGAATGGGTCTAAAATTAGACTTGATAAATAACAATGACATGTTTGAAAAAAAGAATGTGATCACTCTTTCCAATCTCCCTCTCCATTCTGTATGGCACATATTCACTTCTGACAAAGGTTTTAAAAAACCAAGTTAACAATATGAGCACGTCGATGTAATTAAAGCAGATTTATATCAATGCCAGATGCCTTTACGTGTTCGAACACAATGTCCTAGTTACCCCAAAACATGCTACCTTAGTCATGTGACGGAATTTCGTATTCACAAAGTTACCTGAGGTAAGAAATCACGTGGTGAATTATAATATTCAACATGTCACAATGCTTGATTACAACACAGAGAGCGAATGTAAGAAGAAGCAGTTTTTCCTCTTTTTAACCATGAGTGCATGTTTGTTTATTAATGTCCTTTTGACACATTATAATTAATGCAAATATACAACTACTGTTAAACGAAGAACAATAGACAAACATGCGCTGACTATGTATAATGTCAGTAAAAAAGTGGGCGTCCTCATTATCACACGGAGATTCAAGAAATTGTGATGACCCCTGCCTTTGAAAACAGATTCGAACTTTGTAAATACATGCTTTTATTAATTACAAGTTGTAGATTGGATGTTGACCATTCTTGCAATAAAAAGAAAAATGCTTCTTTTGAAAGTTTATTTTGTCGCAAATTTCGCATATTCTTAAGTACGTGCAGTTGTCCTTTATATTTGTTTTCATTTCACACATATATAAAACTTAAATACAATTGCATGAGTCGTTTATTAATGTTTAATCTGAAGTAGGAAATGAGTTTGTCATGTATTCATTTTAGACTTGATGTTGAAAAAAGATCCAAGTATTGCCGGAAACTTTACTAATCTGGACAATCTTGCGAGGCTTTATAGCATTTATAGATAAAAGATGACTCGATTCTTTTTTTTATTTTTCTCATTGAATACACAAAATTTTTATGAACTTTAAACATATAATATATTTTTTTTCTCAAAAATAAAATTATGCCATTTACTTACTTAAAAATAGAGCTCCGCCAAAAAGCGTGTCGTTTTAATTTTCCGTATTGTCTAACGTAACTGCCTCATATTTGCTAAACATATCTTACACTGCCTCCTGTTTGCTATAAATATCTTATAAAACTGTCTCCTCTTGGCTAGACATATTAGTATCTTATAAAGCTGTCTCCAGTTGGCTAGATATATATTATAAAACTATCTTTGTTGGCTATATATAGCTTACAAAAAAACTGTCTCCTGTTAGCTAGACATATCTTACACAAACTGCCCACTGTTGGCTATATATATCATACATGTCTTCATCTTACATAAACTGCCTCCTATTGGCTAGACATATGGTACATAAACTTTCTCGCGTTATACTTTTCAACGCTTACGTTTCAACTTTTAAAAAAAAGGAAATTTTATATACTGAATACATGATTTGTGTGTAGATATTGATTGCAAAAGTTCATGCTGTTTAAAAAAATCAACTCCATAGATTTACACCTACATTCAACTGCTCTCAAATCAGAGAACGATGTGGGTTTTTTTCATGTGCACTCATTTATATAAAATTTTTAAAATCTTTTTTTTTTCTTAATTTAGAAAAAAACAAGATCGAACAAGATGTTAATAGAGCATATGTTTAAATGATCAGTTACACGTCTGACAACTGTCTAACCCGCTTAATTGGACAAAATCTATACATTTTACATCGCTCTTTGGATTAATGTATCGAATATTTACACCCATTTTTATTAATTACTTTTAATCCTTTAACCCGAACACCAATTTCAATTGCAATAATCCGATTAAGATTGGATCCGTAAAATGTTCAACAGCCCTAGGTTTTCGGGACACGAAAAAGGCCATTGATTAATTAATGTATGGAAAGATGTGCATTTTTAAGTGTTCGTCCCTGTGTAAACTCCAAATAGCGATGTTTTAAGCTAGACGCACAATACACAATGGATGTACAGAGAAGCGAGAGCCCAAGCATGGGCGAAAAAATCTTCAGGGTGAGTAGTGTCAATGTGTTAAAACTCAGTCATGCACTCCACTTGCTAATGTTTATAAAAATGTAGGCGCATGGATCCAGATCACATGGGTAATAGGGAACAAAATAACAAAAGTAAGCTAAACTAAGTTTTTTTTTTAACAGTTGAAAATCAAAGATTTTCAATTGCAGATTATTCTGTCTACATGGCAACCAGTTCTAGAGTAAATAGAAGTACAGTTGTATTTTATTTTCTGTTTTGAATCTGCATGTTGGGTGATTGTACATTTGATAGAAAAGTTTTCACTTACCCATCAAAACAGAATGACATATTTATAGCACCAAATTTCTTAGGTTATGTGTTTTTTCTAAGGCTGGAAAATTTGCTTCCTTATTATAAACTGAACAGAAGAATTTTATTCATTTTGTACCATTACGCTGAAACAGTTAAAAATTACAGTGTACTTCAACTTGCATGTAATTAGAAGTGTGTCTGAAAAGCCAGTCTCAATGAATGGCTCATAATTTTCTGATATTTAACATCATAAATGAAAATTAAATTGATGTCTTATCATCATTTGTACTTGTTTCATTTTGTATTGTCTAGTAAATATGAAAGTCATTACAAAGTATATAGATGCTTTATTCAAATGTACTTTTTACAAAATGAAACACTGGGTACTTAAAGTGCTTTTTTAATCCCTTAAGTGGACTATTTTTGGGATTGCATAATGTATTTTGGTCGTAAACTCTCCGTTTTAAGTTTCAAATGTCGATTTACGATATGAACTGCTCAACATTAAGCCAATTCTCAACAGTTTAAATGACCAATCCAATTGTTTGAATTTTAACATACTGAATAGTTAGCCACCACAAAAATAAAAGTATTTGCTTTGCCCATTGATCATTATACAAAATAAATTTAAATTGTATTTAATTTTTTTTTTTAAATAATCAATAATTCTCAAAGACTGAAAGTCTCAAAGACTTTCATTAATCAACATGTACCACATGAACAAGTGTTTTGGCACTAGCTTCTATTAATCTATTTTCAATAGATGGTCACACCACCGGCAAAGAGGGAGGCCCGCCGGACATTGAAATCCACCTCCCTGGGAATGGCGGCAAGGTACCGACTCTCCAGTAATTCTTCTGTACCCTCCGTCTCGTCTACACCCTCCAAACAACCTCCAAACAAAGTTACCAGAATTAGAAAAGCGGAAATAGACCTTCAGGTCCAACAGGAAATGGAACAAATTCGGATTGAAGAAGAACGGAAAAAGGAAGCGGAATTACTACAAAAGCGGAAACAAAAGATAAAAATTGAAGATGTCGAGGACTTTGATTTTGACGGTATGAAGAAGTAGATTTTAATTCATTTGGACTTTCATGTTAAGTCAAAAAGTATTCCTGCGAAAATCAGCAATTAAAAGTTGGGGGACCACATAAGTTATTAAAGCTTCTGTCCAATTCCATTGACATGTTGTAAATAAAATATGTTAATAAGAATTGTCAATAAAATATAATCATTAAAAAGATGTCGAAAGTTAAGTTCTTTATATATAAGAAGGAAAATCACCAAAATATATTGTTTTTACTGCTTGTAATCACATACTAAGACAGCTGAGAATAGCATGATTTAAATCTTTGCCGTTTGATATGCAGCTTTGAAAAACTAACATGATGTGAGAAAATAGCTTAATTCGTTGTAGCTGACAGCGATCTATCGGCTACCGAATCTGAGGATGAAGATGTCAGCCAGAAAATGTACATGGAGGCGTGTAAAGAAATGAGACTGACGCCCATCAAAGCAGTGTATAAAGCGTTAGATACCGAGAAACTGGCCATTGTAGGGGTCATTCTAAAGAAGAAAGAATCAAAGGCTTGTGCAATAGGATTATTGGTAACTACTTCTACGCAACTTGTATTTTATCATAGTACCAACGGATTTATATTATTATCTTTATATTTTCTCTTTTTGTATAATGATAAAATGTTAAGTGTTATTATCATCATTGATATGATTAATATACTACCGCTATCAAAAAATATAGATACAGTGTATAAGACGTACAAAATATACTTTAAACATAATTAAAGTTTTTTTTTACGTTTCACAAAATTCATATACAAATTTTACATTGTAGCGCAATACGACAATTGAAACTCTTGTTCTGGAAAGCAATGAGCTTGGTGGTTATGGTGCTAGATGTTTTTCAGATGCAATATCCCGAAATGAATTCCTCACAGAAATAGTAAGGGTGTCACTTAAGTTAAAGGAGAACTTGTTCTAGAAATCCTTAATCACGCTTTATATGACATATTTTTAATATGAAGTTTAACATTAATTTTCAAAAGAAAAAAGTCAATCTTTTTTTTTTTTTTACAGCGAATAGTTGAAAACAATATTGGAAGTGAGGGTGCTCGAGTTATTTGTGAAGCTCTACGTAAAAATAATTATGTTCGTCGTCTCGATTTGAAAGGTACTTTTTAGTTAAGTATATACCATTTGTTATATGTAATATATTTTAATAGGCAATATGCTTGTAAAACAAGAGTAATTTTACTTGAAAAATGCTGAATTGATATAAACTGCAGTATAATCACAATAAACAACAATATTTAGGTTAAGTCCACAGCTGTTTGTACCTTTATGGATTGTGAAAAAGAAACATGCAATGCACCTGTATGATTTTGAAAATATAGTTTTGTTAAAAAATATTTTTTTTCAGGGAATGGTTTTTATGAGGATGACGCAAAATATTTTAAAGATATGCTTGATGTAAGATGTAATTAAAATTCGTTAAAAGTTCGTATGAAAGCTGAAATGTCAATTTATTACTACTTAAAAAGCGATTTTATATGACCATAATAATTCATATTCAGGAAAATCATGCTTTGAGGGAGCTATACTTGAGTCACAATAAGTTTCAAGAAGTTGGAGGAGAAATTTTCGCTGATGGCTTAGGTAAGCAAGTCATGAATTCCTACATTTTTTTTCAAACTGCACATTGAGAAATTGGATTAAATTGTTACTAGTACATGTACTGTGAAATAATCACAGTTTTAGAAGTACTTCCCCTTGATATATTTCAGGTAACAACGACTTTCTTCGAGTACTTGATCTTAGTTGGAATCATTTACGCATGCGTGGTGCAATGGCAATAGGGTCTGCTTTACAGGTAAACTGAATCATTGACATTCATTTTTTTAAATCATAAACATAATTTTTGCTAAAAATTTTGATATCGGATTTTTCTTTCAGATAAACCGACATTTAGAAAAACTTGACATTTCATGGAATGGTTTTCATATCCGTGGTGCTCTCACTTTATCTAAAGCATTGGAAATTAACACCACACTCCTGGAGCTAAATTTAAGTTGTAACAGACTGTCAGATGGATGTATTCAAATCTTAGTGAATGGACTTAAAAAGAATTCAACCTTAAAAGTGCTCAGAGTAAATACAATATTTATCATTTCAAACTAAATTTATCAGCCATTACTCGATTTTGTAATTTTTTTTAATCTTAATTATCTACTTCTGCAAGATTCATTTTTAAAGATTGACAGTTATTTTGTGTTTATCTTGTGTTTAGATAGCTCAAAATCAGATATATCCACCGGGTGCTTACAAAATTCTTGAAAGTATAGAGAACACCCCAAGCATAGCATTGGAGGTGTTAGACCTTGGGGTAAGTAAACACTGATATAATTTTCATATATTTTCGGTGTATGATCATTATAATAGAATTTCCAATGAATATAATTTCAGATAGAATTTGATAGAATTAAATATTTGGTGTGAACTTTAAAGGCATTCAATAATACTAACTGAACGGATATATTTTCAATCAATTACAAAATCTGTTAATTTTAGTTTTGAAAAAAAGTACTCCCAAAATGGGATCTAGACTTTTGTTTAAATGAGGTAAATTCATTTGAAAGGTTCATGAATGTGTAGATATATAAATATTGCATGTAGTTGATGGTAATAATGAAAATCTTCCTCCAAGAAAATTGAGCGGCAGCCAGGATTGACAGTGATTTGCGAGATTTGAAAATTTTCAATCTTACCCCTAACTATGAATATGTATTTATTTTAAATAATGATGAACTGTACGCACATAAAATGTGCACAGTCAACATTTTTTGAATATCACCAGTCGTCAAGTAATGTTGACTGTTGCTACACTAGAGGGTGTGGTGTCATCATTCAGTGTAATAGTAGTTTTTAACAATTTTTTTAGACAATTGTTTTAGATTCACCTTATTTATAGTATCAATTATCGTTTAGCTGTCGATTAACATTTATCTATTGTATCCTACAGGATACACCGGTGATGGATACATTTGAAAACCTCTACAAAAAGCTTCAGGAGGTCAGAAAACCATTCACAGTCATATATGGCATGGTGTGGGCTACTGATCGTCAATCATTGGCCAGCGCTGACCAAGAACCGGAAGAAGAAGACCTCCTCAATGAAGATCCTCTGCTGGTTTTATTTGAGTATGCGCGGTTACAAAACTTTCGGTTGCTAGACATGTTTAAACAGCTTGATACAGACAACAGTGGATCTCTCGACAGGGAGGAATTTTCCAAAGGACTCGCTGTATGTTGTAGTACCATCTCAGAATATTATTTTAAGGAAAAGTTTATCATTCAATCTTTGTTTGAGAGAAGAATCGAAAGCTCGATAACAAACAATCTTCCTGGTGTCTTACAAGGAATGTCTTTCCTTCAGAATTTGTTATTTTTTTTTTTCAGCAAGTAAATATTCCCATGAACAAGAAATCTTTAAATAGACTAATTGATGTAATGGACAAAGATGGAGACGGCGAAATCGACTTTGGGTAAAGAGATAACTGGAATTTAATATATATAGATAGATTGTTATAAATAAAATAGGCAAATCTTTTCACGTAAGAACACATTGCACAATGCATTTCCTTACCTAAGATGACTTTTAAAAAATGCCTTTTATTACAGTATAAAGACAAAGTAAAATTGTGCGCTTCTGCTCTACATTCTAGTGAACTGATGGCAGCACAGCAGAAGCATAAATTGTTGCTGAAGTCCTACATGAAAGGCGAGCGGCCAGTGGAAGAGACTGAAATTGGCCGGATAGACAGATTGCTTCGGAAAGTCATGTATAAAAGATTTCTTATGCGCAGATTTTAAAACCTGTTCTTATCATCTCATATTGTTGTTCTGTTGAAATTAAAACGAAATCATTGTATGTTATTGTTGTGATATACCAGCATATTCTTCCCTGTTTTGTGGAATGTAGTCCTGTCATTATGTTCCTTGGCACACACGAATCTGTGCATTCGTTAGTTTCCCTTTGTCGTTGGTCATCGTTCTTGCTCCACATCATTCCTTTTACCCATAATGTATGATCGATCACCCTTAAGTTTGCCATTCTCTCCAAAGACGTTTTGGTCTTCCTTCACCCATTTGTCCTTTCTTGTTAAAGATGTTAAACATATCCTGGTGTCTTACACTTTTGAAATTTATCCTATCCATTATTACATGCTTTTTTGTAGTGTTTGTACTGATTTGGTGGTGCTCATGCTTGTTTTCTTGTAGAATTCTTCATTTGAAATTTTCTGTTGTGTTTTATTTTCATGGTTTCTATTATTGTTTCTGAAATGCATCTATTTTCTTTTCATTGCTTTCGTTTGCTTTCCAGATCTCGCAACCAAACACATGTGTAGGACTGATAGTGGTAGGATGTTAAAATTGTTTACAGTTTCATCTCATACAAGCGGAGCTCGTTTGAATTTGACAATAAACAGGAGCGTATTATGTTTTTATTGAAAATAACACAGAACTGTCATTTATGTATCATATAAGAGGTCAGAGAAGTCATTTATCTTATGGACTCTTTCGGATATCAAATATAAAAAGGATGCAAACTGATCAAGATGGATTAATATTCAATATTTTCAAATGCATTTTCTCTACATACTAGATCGAATATTCTCTGTAAACTGTATGCGTAAGGGTGAATTTTGGATGATGATATATCTCTTCATGTAAATAATTGTTCCGTTATTATTCTACCTCAGGAATCTGGTTTCTTCTTTTCTTTAATGTCCATTAATTCTTTGTTAATTTGTTCGACCAGATCTTTACCAAGGACCTATCTGAAAATTTTTTACCACTCAAACTTACAGAGACTGAACTATCCTTTGGGACAATTTTGTCAATTAGACCTATGTTCCAATTCTTAAAAGCATTTTCCTCATTCAGAAAGCTTATTACAATGTATACTCTACACAGGTAGATCTTGCTATTCTGATAGCTATGAAGCACCTTAGGCATTCCATGTTAGCCCAAAAATCGGTATCGCTTTGCAGGAAAACGTTCGTACCAATACTGGATATATCTATTATTATTACCAAAACATTAATTGGTTAATTCATGAAACAATAATGTGGAATCATTTGATTTCGTGATGGTTCAGTTTTCGTGGAATTCTTAGGTACCTCTGATCCACGAATTAACACCCTCCACGAATTAATAAACTAGGGTATCAATGTCACATTGAGCAGTGAGGGTTCTTTATCGTGCCAATGTCACATTTCCTCTTGAAGGTATAAGAGATGAACGAAAAACTGTACAATTTAAGCAATCCACTAAAAATTGGCCCTACGAATTTTAATCAGTCCACAGTATACACTTTTTCTGAAAATTTTTTATATAAACCTACGAGCAATGATGAAGTCTTCCGTCCAATTTTACCTTTGATACATCGATCAAATAAAAAAAATAATAAAGATTCGTTTCTAATCATTCAATACTTATCTTTCAATGATGAGATTCATCAAGAAAACACCCAAGGCTCAACATACACAGACAATCTAAATCTATACGCGGAGTAATACATGTACACACTGAACAAACAATATTTAAAAATTTAATTTTTTTTGTTTGGGTTCTTTTCTCGCGGTTGCACTTCCAGGGAATTTATGGTATTTTCCTGCTTTTGGTGATTGATTGATTGTGTGATTTTTTTTTACGTCGCATTCGAGAATTTTTAAGACATATAGAGACATCACCATACGTGTGAAGGACTTCAAATCTAGACCAATAGTCGGCACTTAGGGTCACTGAGCAATGAGGGTTCTTTGTCGTGCCAATGCCTACTGTGACATGAGATCTAGGTTTTTAAGGTCTCGTCCGAAAGACGTGTGACTTTCACTTATGCTGGTGTAAAGACGAAAAGTGACCCCCATAGAATATTGACCGGGGGTCAAATTTCTCCGTAGAAAAATGACCCCCCGGTCAATTTTCTACGGCAAGTAGGGTCATTTTTCGACCGTAGAAAACCCTTCCAGGCCGGTAATTCTACGACTCAATACACGTTGAAAAATGACCCCCATAGAAATCTGACCCCCTACTTTTTCACTATATTTTATAATTAAATCTTTAGAAATGAGATGTGATATTCGTTAATCCGATGTTGGGGAGGGTCGGTGAAGGCCTAGAGTCTCCTGATTTTTTTCTTTCAAATGTATATTGGGGGAGGAGCAAAGTCGCAGTATCAAAAATTTTACTATAGTAAATCAAAATATTTTTTTGGATATATGATTGTAATATTTTATGTTCTTAAATTTATATGTGCACATTTTTTTTTATATTTTAGAGAACTACGAGGGGTGATCAAAAAGTTCGTGAACTATCTCGCTATTTACAAAACCACAGTTAAGATCAAAATGAAATTTGGCACACATTTAGTCATAAACATGTTCTATAAATAGCAGAGGTTTGCTCCACGTTTGGACGTCACAATATGAAAATGACTCGGTATGTAGATAACGTGACAAAAGATGGTTGACTCAGTCGTACTTGAGCAACGAACTGCTTTAAAGTTTAACGTTTATCTTTAGAAATTCCTTTGCAGTAGCATATAATAATTTGTACACGATTTATGAAGACAAAAAGACATGGCAGAAGTTCAATCATTAATTGGATTGGTTGTTTTAGTGAAGGAAGGGAGGTGGTTAAAATGATGTTTGTTCTGGTGCCCAGTGAAAGTAAGCTGGGGATGAGATGTGTCCTCAGTTAAGCAATCTGTAACGAAAGATCGCCAAATTACAGTTAGAAAAATAACTGAATATCTTAATAATATAATTATTAAATCCCTAAAATATCGTTTACCTTAGATTTTAAACATATCATATATGATAAGAAAAAGTCATTCATACTTTATCCACAATGGATAAACGACGCACCCCAATATAAAAGAGTCGGGTTGTGATGGTCACTATGCTCATTCTGGGAAAAGATATCCTAATCCACCAATCCTATTTGTGACAAATGGGCTATTCTTGTTATAAAAAATAACTTGCATGGTGAGAAATATAAGACTCCAAAATATCTTTTAATTTCTGTGAACAGAACGCTACGGAGCATGTCACGTGCCCGCCTGGATTACGTGATTCGCGCATGGGTAGAACAATGGCAGATGTGCATTCAAATCGGAGGGGACCACTTTAAAAAATTATAAACATCGAATTCTGATTTTATCTCTTTTATGAAAGTAATTCAATTAGTTCGCGAACTTTTTGATTACCCCTCGTATTTCTTGTTCACTAACAATTTAACATATCATCCCAAAGTTTTACATTACTGATATCAATTTAAGAAAGTTTTAGCTTTGAAATCTCAAAAAAGTTCCAAACAAAGTTTCATAGTTAATCAAAGTATTAACTATAGTTAATAATAGTAAACTATAGTTACCTATAGTTTACTACAGTAAATTTTTGATAGTAGTGCACTTCGATTGTGATAGAAATACTGGAAATATACTCCCCTTCCTTGATTATTATATAGATACATGTATAATCTAGATTATCATGCACATATGCATTAAGTAACTCCTTATAAGTAGGATTTTGATGTAAGAAAAAAAGATTTTTGTTTACTTTTATCCTAAAAACTCTTATATTTTTCAAACCTCGTATCACACAGCAAGATCGCTTAATTTGTTATAGGAAAGACATGGCCAGTTTTTTTTCTATAGGCTAGCAAATTTAAAGACGGGGTTACATCCTCGTTACCCACTCCCTCAAAACTTACCACTATATATACGCTGACACGAATCACGTACTTGATTCGAACACAATATGTGTTACAATATTTTTTGGCACAGTTCTATGTAGTTTTGCAAACGCAACTTCAATTGTGCTAATATTGCCAAAAATACGTAGGGAAAAAATAATATGTAAATTAGGCAGAAAAGCTTTTTCATAATGCAACATTCGGTTTTTTCTATTGGTAAAATTTTTTACATGTAACTAGAAAGGGGAAATACGTACTACTGTGTATAAACTTGTGTCAATTCTTAGTATACCAAACACCTCTTTTATTAATTAATCATTTTTTTTTGTAAAAAGCTTCTTTTTGTTTAGGTTTTGTTGACACTAGCAAACAACAAAAGACATTGATAAAGATTTTGAGCTAACCATTTTTTTGTGTCCCTGAGATCGAATATCAAAGGAATACTGATATAGTCATGTCTGTCATTTTACACAAATTTAATCTTCCGCATATTTTTATGAGAAGTTTTTTACTAGAAAATCGAAGATATATATGAGATCTAATTTTCTTAACAATTGTCCATTTTTTTCATGCAGATTTATTTGGGTAGGGTTCGAAAACATTAATCTTTTTGTAACTTCTGAAGAAAAAATGCTTGAGACTTTATTTTCATTCTTTTTTTTACATTATTTACCCAGAGTAAAATTTAAAGAGGATCGTTACAATTATACACAGAAACCATGCATTTTTTATTCATATATAAGTTTCTCTCTCTGACACCAGTTAAGAAAATAATCTTGTTTTTTTTTAAATAACGACTGTGGAAACTTTTTTTTTTATTTATATAAAATTTAATAAAACAAATATAAGAACATTTTTTTGTATTTTTGCTCTTATAGTCATCGAACAGCATAATAGCCTATAGTTATTTGTTTTCCTTTAATGGGATAAAACATCTTGTATTATTAATGTACATGTAAGGTATAGTATAACCTTTTGTTATTTAAACTTTAAAGCTTTTAGGCTACGTGATTTACCTCTACGTATATGCCTAACAAGAATATTCCTACAAAAACCAGTTTTTTGTATTAAAAAAAAGAGACACAGGGTCATTATTCTACGTGGTCATTTTT